GAGGAAAAATGCATACATACTGAACAGATCATTTGGGGGGTGTAGTAGAGCAATCAGTAGACAAGAGAAGTTTCAGAAGGCTCCAGTTCCACTAGCCAAGCAGCGAGTAACCTTGTGTAATTCACTGCGGCTCTTGAGGTCTCCTGCCCCACATCAAACTCTAAGGCCTCTTCCAGATCTGCCATCCCAGTTCTTCTGTGAGTGTAACATCTATTCTCATAAACAATGTGGAGAAAGGGGCGATGTGACAGGTAGTGGCTTTTGGAAGAATATTTACTCAGGGCAGAGGTCAACTGGGTCTGCATCTTACTCGGTTTTGTAGTTGGTGCCATGGAACGCTAAAGATTAGGATTCATGGAGTAAGTTGATTGCATATTGATAGCTTCATTAACTCTTTCAAACTATTTGGATGACAATTATGAAAATCTCTAAAGGAACTGGAATATCAAAAGTTAGTTAACTCACCTTTTATTCACCAACAAAATTAGTCTCTAGGTGCTCACACTCCTGCTAAATTGGGCATTTTTAGTGCCACAGAAATTCCAATGTGTGTTCAAAATAAAATGCACTAGGCCTTATTGTAAGCTATACTCTGGGAATTCAGGCACGAGCGATAGTGAAAGAGCATTAAACATAGAAAGAGAGCATCTTGAAGTCTGCCAACTCATTTCCTCTGATGGAAATCAATAAGCTTTTGACCATCATCAACACTATCAAAAAGCAGATGCTCAGCAGATCAGCCACACCTTCAACTTCACAGCCTTTCCCATTAGAACTGCTGAGGATGGCCTTTGAACCAGGTCGGATCAATCAGATATAAAACAAGAAGATCTTGTCTTCTCTAGCACAAGTTTCCGCTCTAAAAGGAAGGTCGGTTCCTGTTTTGAAAGGTTGATAATAAATCAGGGAAGTGTTACATTTACTATGCCAACCATACTTTTTTTCATGCACATATTCTACTTTGCTACTGAAAACTTTTAGGATACTCAGTTATTTTACTACTAGAAATATTTTACAAATCATCTCTCAATCAAGAAATACTGTGATTACCAAGGAAAAAAAAAATTGGCTTCTTGTTCGATTGCAATGTACATAACATATTAAGCACACATACCTTCTATGTAATACACTAGCAATAAATATGTTTCCCTTCTTTTCCTGAAGTGAGTCAAATGAGAAGAGAGAGAGAGAGAGAGAAAAGACTGGAAATTTTTAGGAATTTATTAACATTCTACAATATTTCATTCAATTTAACTAATCTGAAAGTATGTTTTACATTTATCATAGATCTTTTACTATCACCATGTGACAAAAATGAAACTAAGTAATTATCAAGTCCAGCCTCCAATAAAAAGTGTAAGTATAGAAAGATGGGAGGACCAGGCAAGTTGCCTAGTGGTTAGAGAAGCCAGATCCTACATGGCCAACTGCAGTTCAAATTCCTGGCCCCTGCGGCTAACAAATACATGCAAGATGTGCCCCAAATTCTGACAGGATGGAGAAATGGAGGAGGGACTGCAGTGTGACCATGCTCCACTGAGGAGTACTTCCTCCCTTTCTCTCTCTCTCTCTCTACCTCTCTGTTGAGTACATATGCCTTCAGGCAATTTTTAAAAAAAGGGAGAAAAGGACAAGAGACTTGAAAATTTCCGATTTCAGTAATAGAACTAGAACTCAAATCTCTGATTCTGGTTTATTACCCACCCTATGATGCCTCATTAAAAATCTTATAAGAAATCAGTTCTGTGGCCTAGTGGTTGGGTCAACCTGATCCCACATGGCTGACATGGTTTAAAGTCTCAGAACTGGTGACTTGAGAAATACTCTGATTTCCTGTGTGTCCAAAATCATGAA